AACCATTGTATTGAAAAACTATATTTGTGGACATTAAATTACGCGATACACACCAGCTTACATCCCCTATCTTTAATAGTAAAATGTCCTTACGCATAGTCAATTTATGTGGCACATAACACATAGTTTAACATATTGTCTTATGTGAAACATAAATTGACTATGCATACGGGCCTAAAACTCTAAACTATAAACGTCTCGTAAACCGAACACCAAAAAAAAATAAAAATAAAAATTCAACATAGTTCAAAAAAAGTCCTTATTTGTCATAGCAGTAGGTACCTACATATATATTTTCGCCCTATACCTACTATCGAATACTTCAAAGAAAATATTTCCAAAACTTTTACAAGCAGTTATTTACTTCCAAAGCTATAATTTTGACTATTTGTTAAGTGTAATGATATTTTCTTTCTGAAACAAAAACGAATATATTTTATATTGGACGACTAAAAATAAAATAATAACTGATACAAATAAATGATTTTACGTTTATAACAGGCCAACGGGGAACACGCTAACTACGTTACCTACCTATTCCATTCCAACATGAAAAAAAAAACAAAAACATCAAACATAATTTATATAAAATAAACTATCAATTGGATAACTGATTCGTATTGATAGTTGATACGGTTTTTAATACAATCCGTAAAAATATATTAATAAAAAGTAGGTCAATTATATTGATAATTATATTATATGGTATTTTTTCGCAATTTATTTAAAGCGATCAAAATTCAAAAAATCTTATTAATTACTGAAGCACCTAGGTACTATTGTATGGTCCCTTTACAGTCCATTATATTATTAAGCATAATGTTTTCCACCCCAATAATTAAATCAAATATTTTTACTGAATGTTAAAATATAATATTCAAGTTTAGATATTCTAAAAACACAAAAAATGTAGTCAAGAAAAGTTGTTTTTTTTATAAATTATACCAAAGCTATGAGTGTTAAACAACAATAGATTTATATTATCAATCAAAGTTTGGAAAAAATATTTTTAAATACCTCAGTTATGGTCACATGAAACATAAACATTAGATATTTAAGGGGTTCCCTGCAGAAAGAATATAATTGAATTTGCTATTGAACAAATCAATGTAGACTTCTATTGTCTTATGTTTCATTACTAAAGTTTTAAATTCGCTCTGCCGTGCATTTTATATTATTATTATCCCATCAACCAATATAGTATTAATAAACTGTTGTGCATTGGCAAGGAAATGAAAAATAAACTCGCCAAAGATTTACTTTTCTAAATGAATACCAGTTAAGTTGAGTTTACGCCTATGAAAAAAAAGTACCTACTACATATATATGTTTACTTGGAACCTGCAAACGATTAAACAATAGGTACCAAAACGCATTACCCATATCTGTGCACAGTAAGTTAACTGTGGAAATTATTTTTTGTTATACGATTTTTAATATAAGAAGTAAACATCAATAGCGCGATTGGAAAATACAGAGACGCAAAGAAAATCAATTAAATAAGTCACAATAATAGGAGTCCAAGTCACTCGACCCTATAACTTTATTTTATATTTTGTTTGTATTATATATATTTTTTTTTGTCCCTCACTTTTAATTTGCATTCGGAGACCCTTAGTTATAACACTGGCATCTTTTAGAAGGGGTAAAGTTTCAAGAGTTTTCAAGGGCTCGTTAACCTTTTCCGCTTGGCCATTCTCAAACAATAGTCGTTCAAAGTTTATAATAGGGTCGGCGACCATAACCCGGGCCAACGAAATAAGGTGAACAACCCATTAAATTATAAGAAATAATCACAGCCAAAAAAAAAGCCTAAAAATTAAAACAGAGAAACGTATCCAAAGATCAAAACATAACGATGTAATATTGTAATGGGTTTTATCAAACATTTCCAACGTTTATTCTCAAGATTTTGCAGTCGAGATGCTTTAGCTGTTTCTTATATCAGTGGTAATTCGCCAAATTCAATTATCCTTACACCAACGAACACTTTATGCATGGGAAATGTATAAACTCCTTTTCAAAACATTTAACATGCCTATAGGCTATAGTCGTTGATAACAATGCTGTAGGACATTAAAACAATTATATTGCTGACCGTAGGGAAAAACTTAAACAAATTATTTGTAATTTTTATTCAATCACTAAATTCATTCATTTGATATATTTTTTTAATATTGAAAATGGTAAAGAAATTTAATAAGATACCTATACTATGTTCGATTTCTTTCTATCTTCCAGAACATATTATTTCAAAATACTTGAATAATATTTAAAAATGTTTAAAAAAACCTATCGAGAAAAATACACGGGTAACATATTCTAAACTTTCAAAAGTTTCAACAAATTTGTATTCACTCGAGTATACAACTACAATTGTGTAAGAAGAATAAGTAAGAAAATAGACGGAGTGTATTCAAAAGTAGCACATGCATGATACAATTGTGAGTTATAAGTTAAAAGAAAATATACTTTAGATACATCATGAAGTTTACTAGGTATCGAATATCATATTTTATTTATCTTAGATGTACGTTTGCGTTTTTCTTTCGATTACGAAAATATTCAAGACGTATACATTTCATAAGTTAGTTTTCATTTTCCATACCAAAAGTGTAAAAAAGGGGGCATGCAACTTTCCTGTACTCGTATGGAAATATTCTGTTTTGAACACAAATCAAAGTAGTGTACCTACAAAATGATTTAACCATGGTTTAGCGGAATCTGTTAAGGTACTTTGATCTAGAAAATATTTCCAAAACGGAAGCAAAAATTATATAAAAGTCATTCTTTGTAGCACAGATAAGTGATAACACTGTAGCATACGGATAAAAACATCGTTAAACCATGTATGCATCATTTTTACTAGTTTTATTCGACAATCTAAATCGCGACTAAAGTTTTTTTTTTTTGACATAATGTAATATTAGAAGAAAAAATATTTACATCTGGTAAATACGTACCTGCTGCAGTCGAATCTTCAAAATCAATATTATTATTATTTATCCCTTGCCGTTTTTAGAGACTAAGGAGACCTCTTATCACATTATTATAGTTAAAATATTATTTTTTTGCTGATTTTATAACTCGTCGTTAACAAATAATGTACCTATGTACATATGAAAATAAAATATTACAGCGGAATCATAGAGCTGTCATATTTGCATAATTATAATATATGTGACTTTTGTGTTTCCCAAAGAATGTCGGTAGGTAATCATTGTCACATGAATCAAATGTGTGGCCATTATGGCAGTATACTAATTTACTGTAGTATACCTACTACCTAGTTGTGTTGATGACTGTTAGATCCTGGGTGAAATCTAATTTAGAAGTTTATAGAAATAGGCATGTAGGGAAATTTAATTGGGAAAGGCTAAAAAAATATGTAAGTATTAAGAAAAGCAATGAAAAAATAAAATTAATTACATTATCTATAGTATTAATATTAAATACTGTAATTTTACGGTAATAAGCGTAATTTTCATGTCGTAAATTAATTTCGAACAATTTAGTATCCATAGTTGCATACGTATTTTATAGGTACCTACCTAGTAGTACCTACATTAGACGATATTACTTATTATGTTTATATTGGCCTGCGTTGGCCTAAGACAAGATTAATATTATGTATTATAATTTATAACTATACCTATGCACTGTTTTACTTTAACATCCGAGAAGGAGCTTTCTATTCACAAATTTCAAATATACGATTTATTTTATTATAGCTTCGCTTGTGTAAAATATATTTAAATACGACAATGTAGTACTGCATACAACTTAATACGTAAACTATCAAAACATTCTTCAAAAAAAATTACCTATGAACCTTTCCAACAAATATTTAAAAAATTACATAACTTGGTATAAATCATATTATGATGATTAAATTGAGATACATAAACAATATAATATACATTATTAAATTATTGTGTATATTATTGCCTTTTATAGTACACTAATGACTTATATTATGACTGTGAGTTCATAATACCAGAACTAAATCCAGGAGTTACTTTTTTGTTGACTTTTAGTATTGTATCATTTTATTTTTTGGAGTATTTTTTTTATGTGGATAATATTGTTACCATGTAACTACCTATAGTGCACTAATAGTTAATAAATACTGAAGAGTGGTATTTTATTTTAAATTATATTACAATAATTATCATATTGCAATTAAAACTTGCACTAATTGTTTATATTATTTTTGATAGTTATGTATTGTTATCTGATGCTTAGGGTCAGCCAAATCAATACTTGGTTACCACAGACGGTCAACTATAACAGTGAAATATTATACCTACCGTTATGGAAAAATACCGGCAACCTAGATAAGAGCTACTCTAGTTATTTTAAGTTTAGACGTTAATCAGCTTCCGAGCTTATAAAATCTGGACCTTGTTCAATATCAGAACATATAAATAAACTATTTGTTCACAATATTTCGGAAACAAGGTTTTCTTTTTATCTCCTGTGAATTAAATTGAAGTCCAGCATTATAGTAATAATAGTATTTCCTAAAGTATTTTACCGTGTCTGGTCGAATAGACAAACATTTAATTACAAAAAAAATTTGAAATTTGTAGATTTACTAACTTAGACTTTTAATATTTAACAGAATGATGTGATGAAACCGAAATCCGACCCTATAATATCTACCCAAAAGACTCGACGAATAAAAATATTTTTAGAAAAACCCGATTTTTGGCTTTTTAACCGTCATATTATTTTATTCAATCGATATAGCGAAACATACAGGACAAATATGGTAAACGTTTTAAGTAGAAGAATACTCATAAACGTCAAACACATTTTAATTATCACTCATTTTTAATCTAACCTACAACATATTAATATATTATATGCACCCTTGAAAATATAACGGCGAACATATTGAAACAGTTCTCATGACAACCAAATAAAATAACCTCAAACAAATTTTGTTTAAAATATATTATATTATTTTATTTTGCATTTTCTCATTAGATTCTGCGATGGAGAAAAATGTTTCTATTCAACAGCTTACTGAGGAAAAGGAAATACAAAAAAAGTAATTTGAACAAATAATATACCTATTAAAAATACCCAATATATAAACGTAATGTTTTCCTAAATTTTTTAGAGTAGGTAATACATAATATTAAGCATTTCCAAGGAACGCTAAACTTTGCCCATTTTTATGTTTACTGCTTAGTAAATACTAAATAAGAATACTAGCATAATAAACCTTGACATATTTTTTGGTAAGGTTATAATAGCTTACACTAGAGAATAGTGCTTACCTCAGTACAGTGGCGTGTAACATAGGGTCCAAGGGTTGCTGAAGCGCAACACCTTAAATATGGGTGGGTGGGTATTGATAGAAGAAAAATAGGAAATTTGATAGGCTGGTATAACAGTATTATAAGGGCATGTCACCTAAAATTATTTGAGCAACACCAATTTTTTTTTTATGATACACGCCACTGCCTCAGTATTTTCTTAACGATCCTGTATAATGTTCTCTGAGTATTAATACTAAATTGTATCGACGAATAGTTATAATTAACATCATGTGCTTTCACATATTTTGTAAGTTCACATAAAATATTTGTATAATATCTAGTTCGGATCTTACAGAAAATGTTGCTATATTTTGTTGTTGATGAATTGTCAAGTACTCAAATGTATATAGTTATAGTCTCCTGAGTTTTGAACTGGCGAAGACGGTGCTTGATAACACTGTCCCATCCAGTGGCGTACGCAGGATTAAGGTTTTAGAGTTCCAACTCCCTCATCCTTGAACTCTTCCTTCTACAAAAAAATAAAATATTTTTCACTGTCGTAAGAAATACACAGACTAAAAAAATAATTGTTAGTTATTTTTAATAGATATAAAATAAATTGTAAAATAACATCGAGAATCAATGATTCAGTTTTTTTGTGCTGATTAAGAACATTGGTAAACGTCTACCATAATCGTAGGCATCATCGATTATTACCACGTTTATTAAGCCCTGAAGATGAGGCTCAATAGATGACCAAGTTAAATACTCAAAACGTAGACTAATTATTGAGAAACTCTATAATTTATTTTATATTATAAACTGTTTAGCCAACAATAATATTGTAATGAGGAAATATATAACCCCCCCCCCTCAAAGGGTCTGCGATTGTTCTTATGTAAGACCGTAACCGAACTAAAATCCTGCGTAAGTTACTGTGGCCTCATCTTATATAATAACCGATTGTAAAATATTGAAGAAAGAAGATTTATATCGCAAACATTTTGTTATTTTGTTGTAATAATATAGGGGTGCGATATGCTTGCAAAATTGTACTTATTCCATTGTACATGAAGTAGCAATGACAATGGGCATGCATATAGTAAAGCCTGAAGGATCGTGGGATTTGTGGTGGTGTACCACACCCATGGACTTTAAAAAAGCCAAAACTTTAAAAAAATACCAAGTAAGCCATTCTAAATACCAGCTAATATTTGATATAATATTATCATAGACAAAACGTATCGATACATTCATGCAAATAAATCTAATGTGGACCGAAACTTTTCTGACGTAGAGGGCGGTAAAAAAGCCTTTACTGTCCACTAGGCGGAAAAGGGTCATTTTCCAACGCTTCAACCCGCATCGTAAATTAAACTTTAGGTGCAAGCCTGATAAAAAAAAGTATTGAAAAACTCTTGGCAATTATGGTTTCAGCTCTTGACGGTTTTCTGCCCATAATATGTATTTAAATGCTATGTGTTATCATTACTTTAAAATATATATCACCCGATCCAGTGTGAGTAAAGCTAACCGAGTAGCTTTAGCACCATGTCTATACGTAGGTATTGAAAATATACACTCTTGAGACCAGTCTGTTTTTTATTTAAATTCTATTTAAAACATATAGGTGCTAGTTAGAAGGAATAACATTATGTAGAGTGTGTTCTTGCATATAATATAATTTAGCGATGGAATCTATACAAATAGGTACCATGTCACCCGATATTAAAGTAATCTAGGCTGAGACTTTTTTATATGGACATATTATTTGTGTTTATAATATTATTTTAATTCTAAATTCTGATATAAAATATTATTATTTTTTTTATCATTATGAATTGTAGAAGAATATAAATTTTTTTAAAGAATTTTATTTTCATTCTTAAAATAAACCATGTATTCAGTTTATTTTTACTGTCGATAATTTGAATTTATAAGGAGGCAGAGGCAATACGTTTCTGTATGTCACATAAGGCATAACTGAAATTAAAACATTCTAAACTTCAACTCTTCAGTCTTCTCACCGATTAATAAGCATAATAATATAATATCGAATCCTATAAAATATTGAAATGTATGGTAAGTAATAAATTGAACCGATTATGTAGTCTACAATTTTCAGAAGACGAATCATTTTTTGGGTATGTCAGAAATTTGTCGTAAGGATTCATTGGCTCGCAATCTCAACACAATGTCCAATAGTTTTCGAGACGATTATAACTTTTATCCTATGACGTGGTATTTACCATCAGAGTAAGATTTTTCTGATAAGTAATCGACATGCAATACATAGAATTTAATTAATTTTAGTTACATAAAATTTCAAACTTACGTGAATCAACATAAAAGTGCAACATATATTTTAAAACCAACAACAGGAAGTCGAGGAACCGGAATATACATAACGAAATCTCCGAAAAAAATTAATCAATATGAGCAAATGATTTGTCAGCTTTATATTTCCAAAGTAAACAAAAACAATTATTGTAAAACTATAAATAATAATGTATATTATTACATATTATAACATAAAACTTTAATTATGTAATAATATTATTCTAGCCATTGTTGTTAGACGGCTATAAATTTGACATGCGTGTGTATACTTTAATAGCATCGTGTGATCCACTTAAGATATACGTTTACAATGATGGTCTTGTCAGGTAAAAATAATATCTTAATATTTATTTCATCTTAAATTTTGTATGATAAATTATGACGTTCATGTATTCAACAATCAATCAAAAAATGATTTTTTACTGAATAAAATTATAATATGTTACTGGCGGATAGGCTATAGTGGCGTAGACATGATTTCTGAAAGGAGGGGGGTCAAAAAAAAAGACATAGCTAAATGGGTGGGGAAAATTGGAAAATCCCCCACTCTCTCACATCTCAAAACTTTTTACTAAGGTAATAAAAAGCCAATGGGAAGTGATCTGACTCCCACACCCCCTTGTCTACACCACTGTCTATAGGAATATAGTTGAATAAGCGCAAAGTCTAAATACTGCATTACATTGCATTCACCTCAATAGACAGCGCTGTTTAGTTTAAATTTTAAATTTTAAACCCACGATTAATCATCATTTTTGAAAATCAATTTTGACCTGATTATATTTTAGGTTGAGTTGGAATTCAAGATTCAAAATGTTTGGTTAAACTGATGCTGATATACTATAATTATTTAAGACGATTGACTTTTTCCACAATTAATTATTGCAATATTTAAAGTTAATTTGGTATCTAACATACCTATTTTACAAATTTCATACCTAGCTGTTATTTTAAAACCTCGTTGCAAAATCATTTGGTGCATTCAGAATTTTCTTTTGTGGCCCATAAACGTGTAAAATGGCTAAACATTTATTTATTAGATATATACGCTGTACGGTACTGTGTGTCTGTGTAGGTAAATAATTTTATTTAGCCTACCTCACATTTCGTTTGCAATGCGATAATGCCATAATGGTTCAATGAACAATGCAATTCAATTTTCACCATTACCGTACATGATAATTTCACAGATTAGCAACGGAACCATATGTAACGCCTACGCACGATAATGTGAACGATCGGTTTATGCACCTAACCAATTACTCGGTAAACAAATGCAATAAAATGTACATTGATAACGAACTTTTTGGAAGTAAACGGTGAGATTATAAAAATAAGCTAGAATTCGTTATTAATTTTAGAATAATACCTATATGACGTGTCGTTGAGTTTAGTCGAATTACAGCACTTGCTGATTGGCTCCATTCAGAAGGCTACGACGTGAAAAAAATATGGAACGAAATTGATGACGTCATCATTAAAACCATGATCTTGGCCTATCCGTTTGTCAACCGCAGCTATCAGTCGTGTTTCTCTGGTCATAAATACACGCCGCCATGCTTCGAGATACTTGGATTTGATATACTTTTGGATGAAAACTGCAAACCGTATCTCTTGGAAGTCAGATATATATAATATTGTTACATAATTGATGTGTTTATTTACACCCGAACTTATATTGTGCTTAGGTTAATCATTCACCAGATTTTCACACGGACACTTCGACTGACAAAATAGTGAAACGAGAACTATTGATTGATACGTTTAGGCTATTGCAGTTGAATAAGACTCTAAAAAAATTCGTTTCTGGGGAGGATAAATGGAAAATTCAACAACAAACCATCAAAGCTGATAAAAACGTTTAGTATGTTTTATTACCAACATAGGTACGTCTCCTCAGCCCCCCCCCCCCGCACCCAACATGGAATATTGAAAGTTTTTCAAACTTGTTACCTTTTATACACCATTTGAATGGATTTGCATGAAAATTTTCCACATTTATATGGTCATAATACCGAAGTTATAAATGAGCTAAAGAGGGGGGCCCCGTTGGACGTATCGCCCATACCATCCCCAAACTAAATTTTAAATTTCTTACCTTTGTACACCATTTGCATGAATTTTTTTTCCTTTAATTTTTAAAAATATAATGGATAGGCTGGTGAGACGTCCCCGTTTACATTTATTTGTGATTATTTAATATGATGATCATATAAAATAGTAAATACCACGATAGGAACTAATCTCAATGCGTTGGTAAATTATTGAACGTGATATTATAAAACTATAGTAAAACCAGTAACCACTCAATATTCCTGTATAAAGAATTTTAAAATTTTGTACGTTAACTTAAATTGTAACGTTTGATATTCTAGTTTATTTTACAATACATAAACAAATTATTTTTTTAAATTTTGTTGATCGACTATTCTAACTATAATCTTAGCCCAATAGTTGGTTCTAACTATAATCTTAGCCCAATAGTTGGTTAATAATTTTGTATAATATTTCCCATTGTGACTACCGGTTTACTATTGTACCATTTGTACCTACCGGCTACCACGATTATTAAACTGAAAATTTGTATGCAATATTGAAATGAGCTTCAAAGAAAATAAAGACAAAAATAATACCTTTAGGGTACCTCATTATAATATTGTCAATTATGTGTTTGATTTTAAAGTAATGCAATACCTAAATATTTTACTTAATTCATTTACTAATAAAGTTATTTTGTTATAAAACTTTAAAAATGATTAAATATTATGTACTTTTAGGTTAAATAATTTATTAAGTAGGTATCATATAACAATCTCCAATATTACCAATAGTTTCTACATAAAATAATGTATTGTTATATTTCGTATTAATCTGTGTAAATCATTTTTAGCAAACAAAGAATGTTAAGGTGCAAAGAACATTTTGAACAACAAAATAATGTATGGCAAAGTGAGAATATGGGTAACTATAGATTAGTGTTCTCAGAGAAAAATGCGCATTTGTATGAACATTTTTATTACTGCAATGAAAGTGCAATTTACCGACACACATGTCGTACACCATTACATCCAGAATCTGAAAAATAATTCCAGGGAAAAGTATATTTGATTATTAGGTATAACTAAATATATGGTTATTATAAACTTAAATAAATTATTATGAATATTTAAGACTCCAATATAAATGGAATGTGAACAAATCACAGTTAAAGAATGACTATATGAAAAAGACTATATTATGAACTTTAATATTATATTTACTATTTAGTAAATATTAAGTTTAAAAAAGTAGTTTTGGTCACCTCGTTTAAGAAATAAGAATAACACTGAAAACCACTGTCAAGACGTGTCAACAGATATCAACAAATAAGTAAAAACTTTGCTGATTTTGTTTCTATTCACCTGTCGTTTTTATTCACCCCGATTTACGGTGGGTACATACTGCATAATACGTATATAGGTATAATATATTATTTGTGTTATTAAAAATAATACAATATTATTTTATCATATTAAAAATTCTCGTTTAAAATGTTATAAACAAAATGTTGACAGAAAGTATTTTATAAGTTATTTTCTAAAGTTGTGTAAATATTATTATGCGTTTTTTATTATGTTAGTCATCGTACTAAACCATTAAACTCGAGTTCTCATTCGATATAAGGAAACTATTAAACATTGATATAGGTCTGTATCTGACTATAGTCAAAACTCAAAAGTCGTTACTACAAAAAACACAAAATATGATATTTCTAAATTATTCATTAGGTATACAATACATATTTGTATATTGTATACTCTACCTAAACACTGCATTGTGCAGTGTGCACCCTTGTTCCCAATGACTAATTTTCTTACAATATAAGTAACTTCAAAATGATAAAACATTTATGCTGCTAAACAGTTGTTTCATTTATTTTGAATACCAGAATACCTACTTAATTTTACATTTTATGTAACACTGTTGGAAAATAATATACATTAATGCTGTAATATTAAATGTATTAAAAAGTATATCGATTATTTACATTTTTTCTCACCACGTAATTATTTCTTTGGGTATACCAAATAGCAGACAATTAAATTATTTTGTGTAAGTAGGTATCGATGTTTACTAATTACGATTGCAGTTTAAGCCAGCGGTTCTTAACCTGTGGTCAGCGGCCCCCTGAGGGTCCTCGATACTCATGTCGGGGGTCCGCGGCAGCCTTAACACATAACATACGTCAATAAGTGACATGAGTACATTATTACAATATTGTTGGATTATAATTTATTTTTTTCATATATAATATGTAGATTCTACACCAAATAATTAAAAGTATTATTAATATTTATTAAGTAATCAGTATTTCTTGTTCATACGAAATGTACATGCGTACAACAGCACTGTAGTCTCGGTAGTCTTATATTTACTGCCACTAAATGCAGTTTATCGATCGTAGTATCGTACTCAATTATAGTTTTATATTACATTTTTATAAAAAATGAATTGTGATAAGAATAATTAGAAATGTATATGTTTTGTTATGTCTACTAATGTAATTTATAATATAAAATAATTATTATAATTTTGGTTCTGATAACATGGGATGTTTTGTAAGAAAAAGGTATTAAAAAAAAAAAATGGTAAGGGGGTTTAGCGATTTATAAAAATCTTTCATCAGGGGTCCGCAATCTACAAATGGTTAAGAACCTCTGGTTTAAGCAGTAAGTTGGTTTGCAGTACCGTATAGCAATAGGTTATATCTATGTGGCTATGCTATTCCTCTGTTATCAAACCTTTGTCCTGGAAAGGTGTCAAAGTTAAATGAACGGCTAAAATATGATGATACTCAACTATATATCTGGTACGATTAAACAAACATTTCAGATGATAAAAAATAATGGAAAATACGGCTTATGCGTACATAAGTAGGTACCTAGTAAAATTAATTATGTACGAAAATAAATCTTACACAACAGCCTCTCACTCCCATATATCTCCAGCACAGTACCTTCACCTTTGATCAAATAAAACCTCAATAAGTCATACGTAGACTATTTTTGAGTGTAAATTCATGTTTTAACCGAGTACGAACCACAGTAATATTAAAATAGATACATATTATATAATGCAAAATATTAGATTTATATTTTATAACACATAAAACCGTCGTAGTTTTAGTCGATTAGTTCACATTTTTTTTTTTTTTAATTTGATAAACCGAGGCAATATATGCCATTAGGTGTGGGGAGGGAACTATGGGGTTTTAGGTTGGGTAGCTTGGTACACGTGTGTGTTGTGTTTTGGCAGAATTTCTAATGGGGCACCAGTAGGTTTCTGAAAAAAAAAAATGGATGGCGGCACTTGTTCTCCGGACACGGTGACTTGCCCAAAGAAAAATGCCGCCCACACATTTTATTAGTACATTATATTATGATATTTCTTTTCCGTTTACCTCCCGAGATGTAAATAATTAGGTGGTGTATTCGAAAGCCCAATGTAAGTGTAAAACAAGTGGTCTATAACAAATTAATATTCCCAGACAGTGCCATTTCAGTCGTCCAGTGTGAAATGTGAATCCCATATAAAATATCCCTAGTATTATAATAATATTGACATGTATATGTCTTATGGCTGGGGGTCACTCTGTTAATTTGTCCGACACCGAGAATGTTACCATGACGTCATTGGTGCGACTATTATTATTATTATTATTATTTTTTTTTTTATCGACACATAGAGAAGCTTGAAACTCGTGAGTACGTTTCATATTTCAGTACACACCGTCCTTTATTATCCATCACTAAAAGTATTGTAAATGACGATTCTGTAGTTTAAATTAAAAATTTTAATAAAAATTTAGAAAAATGTATACTCAATAAATAATTCCTGTCTTTGAAATTTGTTTATTTTTTACACGTGTTAAAAAAGTTACCAACAGTTTAATCCTCGTCTCCTCGTATCTAATACCAAATTGACATCGACATTCTTATGTCAACTATATTCAGTAGAAACAAGACATATACATGTACCGATGTATCTGTATGTAGTGTAGATAGGTACTCTCGAATTTATATAAAATACAAACACTGAAACAGAAAACAACAGACAAAACTTTTTTACTGAAATTGTATACAAAAATGAATAGAGAATAATTATTATATTATTCCAATAATAATAACATAAACAAAGTGTTTTATGCGGTATAATGAATACAGATGGTATATGAATAACCTATATAAGAAGCTTGAAAGTTGAAAAAAAAATAACTTTATAATATCAGTTATTGAATAAATATGTTGTATACATATTACATGTAGGTACCTATATATATAATGTATATTATATTGAACACACACACGGCATTGAAAGACTCAGAAACACTACATTTTACGACACGCAAACCACTTTTATAAATTATACATTCATCATTTATTAACAACATAATTACATAAATATTATGTACCTATGGACTGTGTTGAAAATAATGAGTGTAGGTTGTTGCATTATTAGTTCACAAGTGAATATGAAATCGATACCTAGTTCATCAAATGACCATTTAATTTCGAGGGGGTCGTTCCATTCTTATATTGCCGTTTGACTGTATACCACTTTGACATACCTACATTATGTAGCCTACATATTATATAATTATACAATTTTAATTAATGCATAATACGTACAACATAACATAGGTATGTAGTTTTTTGGACCAGTAATTGTGAACCATTTTAAATTCACAAGACATTTTATATAGGTAGTTAAATTGTATGAGCATTTTAACATATAGATAAATATAGCGGCTATAGTTATACTACCCGCTAGTGTACAAAAATATATCATTCTGAAAAACATGTCTACTGAAATACATTTTAAGAAA